ATTATTTATATAAGTAACAATCTGTACTTCCCAATGTAAACTTTTATGTTTGATACCAAAAAATAAATGTGGGACATCATTCAATTCATCGATAAAGAATATTTGATCATACAAGAATCCACGTAAATTATTAATATAAGAAATAATACTTGGAATATCTAAATTATAAAAAGGGAATAACCCAGAGATAATTTATTATGATTGTCCGTTACAATCGATTTTATTTCCTCGTATTCCTACACAAGACAACTTGTACGTTTTACAAGAATGAAGGCTTATAAATTACAAACAATAACGAACGTCAAATACGTATTAATACCTCGTGGGTATTCGCGGATTGCCATACCGCTTCTCATAGTAAAACCAAGAAAACCTTACGTATATAATAATAATAATAATAATAATGAGATGTATATCGTACATATTATAATCAGTGTCACATATACGTGTATATATATAATATTACAAAGATTTAATCTATGTTACGTTGCAAATATACATATATGTATGTACGTACATGTTCAATGGCACATACCTACATATACATACACGCATATTCGATATACATATATTTGTCAATGTATATGTAAAGAAAATGCTTATAAATAGAAGTTATATGCATTTACATAAATTACGGCTAAAATTCTGTATTTGGTATCAAAACCATTGTAAAAGGAAGGGTGGGAATCGAATTAAACGGCGAGATAATTAATGTTTATCAAACGATCTATAACGATTAATAAATTAGTAACAGTAGACGAAGACGTATTTCGTTCATTACCTTATCATAATTGTATAGTTATAAATAAACTATGAATTACACGGTACACTGTTGATTATCGTTTCAATGTTCATTCTTGACACTTTGTTATTGCTTGGAAATGAGATGATTCAAATTGCATTCCTATTGTATTCTTATACGAGTCATTAATTTTAATTCAATTATTTCATTGCTGCGCTGTGTTAAAAAAAATTCTGTTGGACACACGGAATCAAAGTTTACCTAAATAGCTACTCTATTAAAATTGTACTCACATTACAGGATCTGTATTATAATTTTCATTGCGTCGTTAAAATATTACTAGTTATTCATTTCTGATAATGAGAATTTCGTGTAATGGGAAATCAGGCGGCACTTCTACGTATTCGATATTCATGACTGGTAAAAGATTTAAAAAATAATTTTCATCGCTCGTGAAGGTAATAATGACATGCAACAGCGTCGTAATATTTATACATATTCATCCCTGTTACACTCGCACCTTGATTTGATGAACAATCGTGGAGGTTGATAAAAATCGGTATCGTCGGGGGCAGTAGACGCGTGGCAGGAATTTGAATAGGAAGACGATGTTCGCTTTCTTTAAGGAAACAGTGTAAAATTGAACATTTGATCGCGACTATTTTATACCAACTGTATAAAGCTACAGCTCTTCAATTTCTTATATAAAATTCAAATGAAGTCTTGTATCATCTCTTCAATTTATGAAATAAACGTGTCGCTCTTGCAATAACTGCGTCTCTATTTTAAACGAATTTCTAATCGTGACTAAAAAATTCGTTTATCTGGAGAACATTTTAAACTCAGAAGATTTGTCGAATTATTATCGCAGTGTTCTACCAGCAATTTCATTCCTAAATCCATTCAGATAGACATACCAATTCGTATAAAAAATATTTGCATCTGAGTGCAATCACAATAATTGCCTGCTGCTAATATGTATCTTGTTACATCGTATAATTATACTGATCACAGATTAGTCAATATTTTATCCAATCTTAAAAAAGAAAGAACTACAC